AATGAAAGTGGAAAGGAAGAGCGGGAAAGGCCGGCAGGAGCTCGTTATTCCACAAATTCCCTAATTCCTGGGTGTTATTCCCTTTCCTGCCCCACAGCTCAGGTGGAGCAGAGGCACTGGGAGTGCAAGATTTGCTAATTATTGATGTTTAATCAGCTGCTCCCCGATACCTCAGCCCAGCTCCCCAGTCTGGGAAAACCGGGATTGCAGGGACATTTTCCACCTGCACCCTGGGAGGTCAGCAGGGATAGAAAAACATCAATAAATGAAATGAGGGGCCTTGTCCTGCCCTTCCCTGGATGTCACCTCCATAATAACCCAGGCCTGGAAGTGCAAGCACAGCCTCATCCTTGGGAAGATGGTAAAACCTCTGGAAAAGCTCTGGGATGCTGCTCCAGGATCTGCCATGGGAATGGCAGGGACCAGCAGGACAGAAAGTCCCTGTCAGCTGTACCCTGCAACCCCCAGGCAAAAAAAAACCCAAAAACAAAAACAAAACAAACAAAACAAAAAAACAACAACAACAACAACAAAAAAACCAAACAAAAAAAACACCAAGAGAAACCCCCCAAAAAAACCAAAACAAAAAACAAAACAAACAAAAAAAGTAAAAAAAAAAAACCAAACAAAAAACCCCACAAAAAGCCCAAACAAACAACAACATCAAACCCCAAAACAAAACAAAAAAATCCCCCAAAATCCCCTCGAATTTCCAATCCCAAAAGGCCCCACATGTAACTTCAATCCCAAATGAATTTTCCCACACCCCGACTCGTTATGGAGCAGAGCAGAACAGCACCAGGCACCCCATTTCAATTGGAGACTCTGACCTTTCTGCTGGGGATCTTTCCAGCCACCCTGATTCCAACTTCTTATTTGTGTGTGTGTGCTGGCACTTCCTAATCCTCCAAATGAGATTGGATGCAGCTTTTTCAATATTATGATGCACTGCATCCTCTTTTTCCCGGTAATTAAAAGGTTTTGCAGCGCCCATAACGAGGGCTGCAGTGCTGGGGAGGAGGGGACTGTCCCTCCAGTGTCCCCACCAAGGTGGGCACCCAATATTTGCCTTTTTCCAGTCAAAGCCACCCCGGTGCTGGGCACTGGGAGCCACTGGCTCCATTTCCCTGGATAAGGCTGATGCCAGGAACCTCCACAATCACTTTTGGCTCAAAATCCAGCGTCCTTGACGTAGGGATTTATCTGGGGACACTTCAGGCCAATGTCAAAAGTCGCTCGGTAATAACCTCGGTGTTTTTGGGATATAAACAACCCTCAAAGCCCTGCGGAATTGGGTCCTTCTGGTGCAGCAGGGCCTTCCCAGCAGGGCCTCCAGCAGGAAGGGGGATCCCCCAGCGGGATGAAGGAACCCCCGGGGATGTGTTGGACACCCCGGGAAATTCCGCGCTCCCCGCTCGCGCCCCTGGATGTGGCTCTGGGAGCCGAGCTTCCCAAAGATTTGGGGGAAGGAGATTCCTCTGGAGCTGTTTGGAATTCTCTTCTCACCTGGAGGGACTCGTTGTGCAGCCGGGGATGCTGAAGGATTGGGATCATGACCGGGAATGCTGCGGGGTTGGGATCACACCGGGAAGGGGATGTGGGTCCCAGCTGCCACCAGAACCCCCAAAAATCCTCCCCCCCAGCGCTTGAAGTTGGCAATAAAGGGGGTGGGGGAAAAAAAATTCCCACTCAAGTTAATCCCTTTTGAGTTGCGATTTTTTCTTCTTCCCAGGTTCGGGAAGTTTTGCAATTAATTTTTAATGGTTCTGACAGCACCAAAAAAAAAAAAAAATCCACATATGCAAACAAATATACCCACAGATATATCCCATGATATATTTATGCATCTATTTATTTTGATATATTTATCTATGATAAATAAGCATTTAGAATGCTTATTTAGATCATGTATATGTATTTACATTTATACATGTAGCTATGTATACATGTATACAATGTATACATATGTAGCTATACGTTGACTATATGCGTTTATATATTTGAATTTATTTATTTATCTTTTAAATGCAGGTTTAATCCTTGCTGTCTCCATTCAATAATCCGAGTGCCGGGAGGGTGGAACGGGATTCCCGGGGGGATCCAGATCCTCAGCATCCCTCCTCCCCTTGGGCGCAGCAGCGGGGCCGGGACCACCCGAGAGCTGCTTCCCGGCACTGAAAAACAGGGAAAACAAGAAATAAAAATTAAAAATAAGACCCGATGGGGGCTGCGGGGAGGCGGGAGGGAAGGAGTTAAGGCGGCAGCCGGCGGAGGGAGCGGAGCCGCTGGATGGAGACGCTCGGGAGCGGCGCCGGCAGCGGCTGCGGGCAGCGCCGAGCGGCGGAGCCGGGCCGGGCTCTCCTCCGCCGGCACCGGCATCACCGGAACGCCCTCCCCGAGCGGTACCGGCACCCTCGAGCCCAGCCCGGCAGCGGGGCCGGGCCGCGGGCAGCGCCCGGAGCGCCCCCGGCCCCGCCGCTCCCGGGGGCGGCCGCGGATGGAGGCAGCGGGGGATGGATGGAGCGAGGGATGGAGCGGCCGGGAGCAGGGCCCGGGGACGGTGAGCGGGAGGCAGCGAGGGAGGAAAAAGAGGAAAAAGAGGGAAAAGAGGGAAAAGAGGGAAAAGGGCTCGGGGGAGGGGGCTGAGGAGCTGCCGGCGGGGGGAGAGCATTGAAACCGGGGCTAAAGGGGGAAAAAAAACCAATCCCAAATGAACAACCGAAAAAATAAGAGTAGAAAACAACACCACCCCTCAGCCCCCAGGCGGAAAATGAAATTTAAAGAAATAGGAGGAAAAAGGACCAGGGAGCTCGGCGAGCGGGGGTCGGCAGGAGCCCGGCCCGCCGGGAATTGTGGAATTG